ATTATCATATTATATTTATATTATTATATATTTATATTTTATATTATTAGACTTATATCTGTTAAATCGGTGAATTTGTTAAACACTATTTGATGACTTTCATCTAGCAAAATATTCTACGAGAATGGGACGAATTACTGCAGGGCGACGATGTGTAATAGTGAAAAATGACACTAGTACCTGACGAAACCATTACCAATTATACATCATATTACTAATTAATGAATACCAAAAATTCAGCTTACGTCGCCCATTTTGATTTCGTCACGAATCTTCAGCAGTTTCGTCCTCAGGGTAGGCCATACACTCTGCGGTACGTACAGTCGGGAACATGCCGAACACTTCTGTCCCTGGTATTCGAACGCAGAACGAATGGTACAAGCGGCTACCGTATCCATGTCGGCCGACGGGTGAACGAAGTGAAAGTTCTTACCGCCGCATTCTTAACAAAAACAACAGAACATGCAGAAATTTAACAGTAGGCGACGAAAGAATCAAAGAAAACAAATGGAGAGAAAAATAAATCAATCGCCTACCACCGGACAACCTCGGGAAGTTGATGTAGCTCTCGATGTTTGCGCCTACTTGCTTCCACAAATCTTGGAAGAGCGGAAGACTGCCGACAAAACTGATGCCCGCCAGATGCGGCGATGGAATGACTGAATTTCCGAACGCTGGACCGTTCGTGGGAATGAAGTTGATGACGCCAGGAGGCAGACCCGCTTCTCGTAAAATTTTAAAGGCTACGTAATTGCTCAACAAAGCAGTCCGTGCAGGCTTCCAAACGACAGTGTTGCCCTAAAGCAAATGTCAGGATGAACTACAACTGACAGCAGGTGAACGCATCAAACCACACACTCCAATCAATCATTTCGTACCTGTCTTAACAAGTGAACAGTTTTGAGTGGTCATTTGCCAAGCCAGAGCATGTTTGACACAGAACGATGAAATGTACAATAATAAGCTTAAGAAACTTATGATTACGACTGCGAAACTACATTTCAATACTGTGCCATGCACTTAATAGCTGAATTGTTCATCTTAAAACTCAACGGTTTTATGATCGAGAAAAAGGCTGATGTTAAAACACCACATCAATTTGTTGGCAACATTTCAGACATACAGCATATCCATTTTTCAAACCAAAAGTTTTAAATAAACATGTTACAGTCTCCAGCACAGGAAGACTGACTATTTTGTTTGTACGTTGGTGGTGATACTAGAAACAGTATAAAACTATTTATAAAACCATTCAATGTTGTGACAACGTGAACTGCGACATTCATGAAAGATATGAAATGTGATGAAATCAAATGAGCCTTGTCTCCCCGGTAGTTAGGGAAATGCTACAGACGATAAGGATTTTCAGAGCTAAGCCAAGTTTCTTAACTGAAGAAGACCCGAGACACAAGGATCGGAGCGTCGGTACTGGCTGATCATTACATTGACTAAACCGTTTGAACTGTGCATAAATAAATCGTGTTTAACGTTGTCTCCAGGTTGTAACATCCTTACAGCGAGTTTTGTGCTGATGAACACCAAAGTAAAAAATTCATTCTTGCCTTAGAAATTGGAAAGTCCTTTACTTGATGACACTGCATAACATATTTATTAAATACATAATCTCAAACGTTTCGGATCATGCTCGATCTGTCTTCACAATATTATAAAACAGGACGTAACAGTACATGAGGAGCCGTGGGGTACAATGTTACAGTTTAGATTGATACATTCATGTACAAACTTTACTAAGGAAGTTACAGCTTCGACAGTCATCTTGCTTAGCATCTATGTTCCAATGCGAACTTAGTTTCATACCAGCATCGTTATTCATGCATTGATTTGACTGAATTGCCAGGCCTTCTTTATCTTTCGACTTAGAAAATCTGGCCTATCATAATCTACATCTGCAAAATTAACTCATGCCCCGTATGTATTTCATAAAGTAATCATGCGCATCTTAAAGTAGAAAAATCTAGCTAGTAGCTTACATTTAAAAAAATACATTTAAGCGAATAATATAACTGGCGAATAGAAAGAAAGCCAAAACGATTTAAATATATTGATCTACCAGATAATAAGCCGATACCGACGTTTCCGACGGTATATCACAGGCCTACTTCAAAGTTTTACTCGCATGCGATTTTAAGCTGAAACATATCCGTTGCTGCAGACGAAACCAACACCAACCAAGTACCATCAGCCTCGCCTTGAAGACGATGCGTGAGATACCGGCTGAAACGTCTACATCGGTCTATCATCCGCTACGTTGTAAGTAGCAACATTTAGATAGTGTTTAGTAAATGTTATGCAGACGATACATTCGCCATTTGCAAAAATAGCACAGAACCATGTTTCTTAAACCATCTGAACACTTTCTTCCCAAACGACTTCAAATTCATGATCGAAACTGAACAAAAGAGCATTTTACACTTTCTGGATGCCTTTGCTACGCGGAAAGAAGTCAGCTATAGAACATATGCCAATCACACCGACGTGCAGCAGCTGTTTCCTACTACTTAATTCCAATCATCCGTATGTAATAATGAAAGGTATCGTTAAAACTCATGTCAGCACATGTCAGACACTGAGTTCCGCTGAACACGGCATTCAAAAACGAGTGAATTACACCATGAGAGCACTAAAGAACAGTGGCTACTCCAACTCCAAACGCCTCGTAGAAGTCATTCATTAACAAATGAAATATACAGACACTTGGAATATAGAGCCAGAATCCGTAAATTTACCGAAAGCACAGTGTCTAAATTACGTACGTAACCTGAGCGAAAAGATCTGGCCTACCTCTCAGCTTGAAAGTTGCGTTCAAGTCTGAACTCAACCTCTGGAGTCTAATAAGAAATGTCAGAACGAAGATCTCGCAGGACGAACAATGTAGATGTCTGCTATATACCCTGTAAATGTGGTGAGGTCTATATCAGGGAAACAAGTAATTCCATCGATGAAAGAAAAAAGGAACACATGCGCAACCTTACGAGATGGAACAACGCTGACTTAAGACAAAAAAGGCAATGCGTAACAAGAGTGACGAAGGATACCATGGTTGTCAAAGAATGCGAAAACGACTCGGCTGTTGTTGAACACTGTGTCATCAAGAATCATCAAATAGACGGGCAAGGCAGCAACGCAACCTGCGCTCAAAAAACAATAAATTCAGAGAGATCAGGGAGGCCCTGTTTAGCCAGACCAACAGATGTATGAATAGGGGCAATGGCATGGATATGAGCAATAACTCGATGTCAACTGTTTAAAACAGCAGTAAACGTTAATCTATGCGCAGCCCGAAATTATGAATGTCATTACACTCCAAATTTAACTTAACGGTTTGATCTTGCAGATCTGACTATGTTACTGTACATGCAGAGCAATCCGTAAGAAACATGAAGACCGTCTGAATGATAATAGCTACATAAAAATATAATAACAAAATACCAAAGTTAGCATATATAAAATATTATTGTACAACATAGTAAACAAAATTATTTCCGTACCATAATCGCCGGGCAGGTGCACATGTTACCACCGATCGCGGTGAAGTTGAAGGGTGATATCGCAGCGACAAAGCCTTCCAAGCCTCTGTAGATGGTCGAATTTTTGCTTGTCGATGCACTAGCGGGTTGGCATTTTTCAAGTTCCATAGCGAACAGCGAATTGAACCTCCAAAAATCGATCATTTCGTTGGCAGCGTCGATCTCGGATTGTTGGTACGTTT